ATTAAAGCATATATAGAGATCTCATTTGCACCCTTAAAATCACTTTAGTTTACAAAACCCAGAGCACTGAAAATATTGAAACCAAACAGAGACAAAAACTTGGAAAGCAGATCAGATTTTGTTCTCAGCTTCTCTCTCCTTTTATTTCTGTAGTTGCTAAAAGTGCTCCCCTTAATAACTACACCAATGATTTACTGTGAACCATGTTCAGGCTTGAGGATCTAATTGAAAGCAAGCTAGTTTCCAACCTCTTTCAACACTGTGTTGTAAATTCACTACAATGGTCACAAATTTAGAGAAAATGGCCTTGGCCGTGCAAAGTTTCGTCTCCACTGGGTGATGGTGAACAATGGAGGGAAGGAGACGCTCTTTAGAATTAGGAGAGGAGGCAAAGTTCAGAAAAGTTCATTCACATCGTTCAAGGGCTGCACCAGCGGGGATAGGATGGCCGGACATAAAGGTGTCACCTACAATTTACTATTACAATTTGGCCATTAAGCTAAAACTCTTATCAACAGAGACTCACAGTAAGTATAAGAGTTCAGCATTTATGGATCCAATTATTTCAAGTCGCACAGTAATAAACAACAGCCAGGGACAACAGTACAATGCTAATACGTCAACGTGGAGTGGAGGGAGGCTGGGTGTAAATCAGAAGGGCACCAGAAAGAGAAACAACTTGTGAAAGAGGCCAAAGCACATGTGCCAGTAAAGCTGCCTCAGCCTGCGGAAACACTGGCATTCATTTACCAACATAAGTGAAGACTTTTATAAAGTGTTACAAAAACACAGAATGCAAATGCTTCATGTGATTCGGTGGGCCTGTCTGAGTCAAAAAGTCCAGGGCATTTTTAATTTCCAGTCCATCCCTGCACGAATTGTAGCAATGTGGTCACTGTCAATCTGCGTATACAGATCTGTAACCAGATTTCTCCCCTACCACTGACCTTATTTTGGAAACCACGGCTAACTGATTTTAACTGTATTAGTTGTTTTTTCTTATTTCTTTTTTGGGGCTGTGTGTATCTGAGTTGGAGCAGACTGACAGTGACGAGTGTGACCCGGTTATGTAAGTTTTTGTACACACATTCAATGTTTTTCAGCAGATTATTTCATTAACATGGCAATCAACCTTATGGGAAAGCTAAAGACAAAAATGCTACACATGGATTTATATGAAAAAGTCAGCTCTAGCGACTAGAACGGGGTGGTGATGGCGCAATGGATAAGATGCCTGCCTTTGGTGTGAGATACCTGGGTTCAATCCCCCACTGTGAACCATCCACCATTGTGTCCCTGAGCAAGACACTTAACCCCTCGTTGCTCCAGAGGGGTGTGACCTTTGTCATGTAGCAATTGTAAGTCGCTGGATAAAAGCGTCAGCTAAATGAATAAATGTAATGTAAATGTAGCTGAGCATAAAGACTAGAAGAAGGGGGAAACAGCTAGCCCGGCTCTGTCCAAAGTAAACAGCAAAACACCTACCAACAGCTCTACAGCGCACTCATTAACACAATGTAAAGTGTGAACATCAGCTGGTTGCAGGGACTGTGTACGGTTTCCTGAAGACTTGTCACAGTGAGGTTAGTGGTCGCCATTGTGCCTGTACAGAGACATAAACCAAAACGTGTGGCCAGGACTGTACACAGTAACCTGAACGTTTCTCTCTCACACAAAGTAGTGGGAATCTAAATCACAGCTTCAGTAACTGTCAGTCAATAAACTTCCACAAACCGTCAGTCCTATCCCATAAGGAACTCTGGGAAGTGTCTACAGAACTTTAATGGTAAATGATCATTTGGACAGTAGCACTCCACTTCACTGCTGAGATATTCAACCTTCTGGCTAGTAAAGCTGTTCACTGTCATTGTTTTGGGTTTTAGTTTTGTTATCCTGTTTTATGTTGAATGAGACCTTTCTTACGTGTTTTGTGTAAATTTACTTCCTGCCTTTGTGTGTTTACCAACCAGTTTTTATTGACTGCCCTTCCCTAATTTCACCAGTATCTAGTTATCTAGTCCCTTACCAGTCTATTTAGTCTATATGTTGCTTTGTCTCAGTGCCCGTTTGTCTTTGTGCAAATGTGTCTAGCGTTCATGCCATTGTCCCAGTGTTTGTTTTCCCAGTGGACTTTCTTTGTTTCCCTGGGACCTTTACATACTTTGTGATTTTGATTGTTGCCTACAACTTGTCAGATTAGTTTGCCTGTTCTGACTGCTTCTCCTGAATTTGATCTGTGCCTGCCTGGCCACAATGTAAGCTGTTTGAACCTTTTGACTTTGACATAAAGGCTACATTCTCACTACTACGTTTTTGTTTTAAAACACTTCCCAGTTCCTGGCAGGAAATGACTGACAGTTGAGAGGATCAGAAGAGCAGCAGAGCCACATCACACAGAATCCTACCACTAGAAAACTTGTCCATTTACAGTTAAGACCAAATTCAGAAAAACGGAGAAGCACAAGCCAAAAATAACAAACACAAACCAATAGACAGGTAAAAGAGTCACGCTTAAGCTGGGATTTTTGTATGGAAACCACATTTTCTGCACTTTACATTGTAGCTCTTTTCATATTTTGAATGATGATCACTTTGGGGTGCAGCTATTGCAGCCCCATATTTCTTTATGCTTTTATTAATGGATTATTTCATCATCATCTCATCTCCTACACATTCATTCTTCAAACAAAGTAGTCAAGTTAAACACTCAGATTCACACGTACACCTATAAGAATCTCATCTCTGATGCTACTGGCCTACTTCCACTGTTCCACTGGAGGTATATACTAATTCCATGCCCTGAAACTGAACTGATCAGTATGACCTCTGTTTCACCCTCTGTCTGCTCATCTGCCAGGGTCATCAGTCCACCGCTTTGCTTTCCCTCCTTCTATGGATTCCAGATTTCTATCCTATTTTCCTTTTCTCCTCACAACTTATTGATTCTGTAAGAATAACGGACCACCCACCCCTTTTGTGTACAGAGTACAGATTCATTACCTGTCATCAACAAACTTTATCTGCTGTTTTCAAATAAACCATAGACAGCTGCTCTTTATCTCAACATTTCAAAACAGTCACACAGAGCATTAATAACTTCATTAAAACTTCAAGTTTTCATTTAATTCTATATTTGTGTGTTGTAATTCAATTCAATTCAATTTAATTTATATAGCACCAAATCACAACAACAGTTATCTCACAGCGCTTTTCATAAAAGAGCAGGTCTAGACCGTACTCTATGATGCTATTTACAAAAGCCCAACAGTTCCCACCAAGAGCAAGCACTAGGAGACAGAGGCAAGGAAAAACTTCCTTTTAGAGGCAGAAACCTCGAGCAGAACCATGGCTCAGGGTGGGCGGCCATCTGCCTCGACCGGTTGGGGTGAAGGGGGGGTAGACAGAGAGAGGAACAGAGAGAGAGAGAGAGAGGGATAAAGTTCTAAAGTTATGATTTCAGTGGTACTACAGTAAACCTATTTATTCAAACTAAAGGATAAAAAAGTCAAAGAAATTGTTGCAGAGTGTCACAGTGATAATTATAAACGCAACTATTTAGCATTGCTCCCCATTGCTCATGGTGACAATTGTTGGGTCTATGCAAATATTATTATTAAGTGTACAGTCCAGACCTGTTCTATGTGAAAGGGGCAATGACATCACTACTGCTATGAATTTGTGTTAAATAAATAAAATTGAAAAACATTGTTGTGCTGCACGATGAAGCAGAATCAAGACAAAAGTCTGCAGCAAGCAGTAGGCTGTAAGGTATATGGTGAAATATAAAAAAATTGATTCCACAGATTCAACAGAATGAATTTAGTCTTATTTTCTTTGGTATTCGTGTCACATAGCTGACAAGTGCAGCGATGATTGCTGGGTAATATGTAAATGAAAGCCCAATCTTGAGTTTCAATTTGATCATGTGAATCGGGTGAAACGCAAAATCTGACAAGTAGACTAGCAGAGCACACTTGCAAGCTAGCAGTCATGCTATTCACTCATAAAAGTTGTTTCAGAAGAGACAGGAGATAAAAGAACAAGAGGAGAGGGTCACAAAGCTCCCAAATCAGATAGTTTTGGATTTCTGAGGACATTGTCAAAGACTTTACTCAGTGCAGGCTTGTCGGATGCCTTTCAGATAGGTGAGTAACTTTACAAGTGCTTTTTCAGTGGATTTGGTGCAGCTGCCGTGCAGCTGTTTTAAAGGCTGTTATCATTCAAAGCTCTTGAACGAAAACAGAGACAGCACCCAAAAACAAGTTTGCGGCGAGTTAAATGTACACAGGGCTGGATACGATTTGCCTCTATCCTGATTATTAATTTTCTTCACTTACTTCACTTGATGTTTACTATGAGTTTATGGTATCCATCACTAGTTTCAAACCTTTTTCAGTACATTAAATTATGGTCCTATTTAGAGAAAAATAGATGATCAACCAAAGTATGTACACATATGGCGCCATCATTTTATGTGGTCTGCAACTTGTCAGTACTCCCCTTCTTTTGTGTTTGCTTATCCATCTTGACAATGACACACTCCTTCCTCAGCAGATTTTTGGCACTGAGCCAAGGCATCTGGCACAAGAAACCAGAGGACAGAGGGGGATAGGTGTGGCCAGCTCAGTAAGAGACACTAGTGTCATTATAGAAAATGAACCAATAGGCTGCTTCCTCTACTTTATGGGCCGGTTGTTAGCAATAAAAAAAAAAAAAACAAGAAAACATTAAGCACATTGGCCCACCAGGAAAATGCCCAGTATACCAGATTACCAACATGTTGGACATTAAATTAATCTCTATCTTGATTGCCGCAAATTGCCAAAAAGCTGCATAACAGATTTTCATTGTTTTGAGCACAATGGCAATAAAAATCTATTCTTTTTTCCCTTACTCTCACAAAAAAGGCAAATCAGTGCATTTCTCAAAAGGGTGACATATTGCAACAGGTTAGTTTAATCCTTTGATTTAAATCAAAGGACAAAAAAACCAAACAAGACTCTCCGCAAACATTTTATTAAATAAAAAGCTCATACAATAGAATACAAGTCATTTAAATAAGTTGGGGTGAGATACAAAAGTTATATAAACAGACTCTACATTTCATATGTACATTATGATATAGATACACCTCTGAGCTGATTAAATGTGTTCCATTTCTGTGTATAGTGCCTCTCGTTTAGTTTGTTCATATCTTAGAAAAAATACATATACAGTATATACAAAGCCAACATGTTAACATAACATCACATGTAAAATACATTAATTCATCTACAATATGTATAATTTAAGTCATGCCAAAAACCCACATTGACAAGCCCAAAAGATTAGAATTACGAACATATTTTCTCTTCCCGTGTAAATCCGGCCTTTGATCCGTTTCTTAAGTGTTTCCAAAAACTCCCTAAGTACCTTGATTATACCGTAGTTTCCCAATGGATTTGGAGGTAAACAAATGTTGTAAGAGTTTTGGGGAAACCTCACAATTCACTCTACGCTGCTTTAAGGAAACATGACCCCTCATCATTGCAATTCAGTTTTGTACATAGCTGGTAAACTTGGTTGGCAGATTGTCCACAGGATATACAGTAGGCCCTGTTTTTAAGGTGGGTAGCCCATTTAAAAGAGTCCAGTTACACTTTGTGACCACTTCCACCAGGAAGATCTTCAACAGGACCTTAGCAAACTCTTTACCCACACACATTCTAGAGCCCCCTCCAAATGGGATGTACTGGAACCTGGAGGAGTCGGCAGAGGGTTTAGTCATAAAGCGCTCCGGCTGGAAGTCTTCCTTGTTGGGGAACATCTCTGCCACATCATGGGTGTCACAGATGCTGTAGATGACGTTCCAGCCTTTGGGAATTTGGTAACCCTGATATGGGGACAGTAAATGATCAGTAACCAGACAGTTTCATACAGGTTCTCAGTTTGTCTCTACAATCTCCCAATTGCAGATTTAGTTCATAAAGGTCTTTGTTAACTTACATTGAGTTCAAAGGTCTTGAGGGCCACTCTGAAGCCTCCAGGGACAGGAGGGTTGATCCTCAGAGTCTCTTTAATGACACAGCTGGTGTATTTCAACTGCTCCAAGGACTCGATGTTCAGACTCTGGAGGTCCATTCCCTGCTCTTCCTGAAGACAGACAAACAGGCATGTGAGGAGAAGCAAAAAACGATGTGATCAAAGTGTAATGATGGTTGGTGGCGAATGGGATAGTGCAGGTTGTTTATTTCATGCACACTTATTTCAAAATACTGATGGTGTTACAAACTGAAAACAATCTAACCATACATCATTTTTTGTACTGTAGGTTAGCTTGTTAGGTCTGCTGGCCTTCCAGGTTCAGACAAGCCTAGTTATCCAGTAACTCAAAGCACACATCAAAGCAACAAACTAGGTAAAAAATGTTTAATTGGTCTAAGCGCATCAGGGCTGTTCATCTGACCTGGATTCCCAATCTAGCTCCTGATCAGGGTTTACACACATCTTACACCATATATATTTACTGTGAAACTTCAATGTGGATTACTATCTCTTTGGCAATTATAGGCTATACTTACTATATTAAAATACACAATAGAGTAACTATATTAGAGTAGATATCGGCAGGAACTTTTCCCCAAATCCTATGGATGCTTAATGATACTCATAGTGACACTTCCTAGCTTTCCCCCCATGCTTTTCCACTGCATCTTCCTCAGCAGATGTAGTTTGTTCAGTTGTCACGGAGATAGCTCAGATGTCATCACTTGAGTAAAGAATGATCATTTTCTCCATGACAACTGAGCAAACTGAACATGAGATGTGGTTGAAAGCTCAGGACAAAGGCGTAAGTAGACTTTGAGTAAAGACCTTTTTAGGTAAACTACTGTTTGCAAGATCAAGAGCGATGTTTCCTGCTCATGCTTAAATATGATTGTGTATTGCATGAATCTTTTATAAAATGGTCACATGAATGAAATTAATTCAAAGTTCACCAGATTGTCTGTTATGTTGAATGTTCAGCATAAAAACTAAATTGCAGCAGCCACTAAAGGTGTTGCAAGTACAACTTAAGAGAACAACGAGATCTAAAGTTGTGCAGTGGTAATGACCTTGTCCATCAGTTCCTGCCTCAGTCTATCCACAACTTCAGGGTTCAAGCCCAGGAACATGATCAGAGAGGTGGTTGTGCTGGCAGTGGTTTCATGGCCCCCAAACAGCAGCTCTGTGGCAGACTCCTTAATGGCCTGGAAACACAAAGGTAGATACAGAATTAGTTTGGGCTCTAACCAAAGTAATGGCCTATAAGGAGGCGCTTGAGATGTTTTGTTTGTTTTTTCATATGAAATTTGACCATGTCTCTACCTGCATGCTGACTGGTTCCCCGTTCTTCTTGCTGCTGTCTATGAGCTGCTGCAGAGCATCTCTGTGTTTGGACTCCTTGCTGGACTCCTGCACCTTCTTCCTGATGTTCTCCTCTATCTTGGAGTGGATGAAATTCCTTGCCTTCAGACCCTGGAGGAAAGAAAGATCGCAGGAGGAGCAGGGATGGACAGAGGAGAGAATGAATGAAGGGCAGCAGAGACACAACAAAAGAAGATGAATTACTGACATTTCCCTCACTGGGTACATGCAGACATAACTTCATCAACCATTTCACTTTGCCTCACGTAATGTGCTTGTTCTTAGTTAAAGGACCAGAGTTTTTGAACATTTTAGATCATTTAATACTATATACACATTACAGGCACCCATTGGCTTTCATTCATTTAATTACAGTATAAAATCTAGATTTTATTGCACATGTTCAAAGCTTAAAAAAAAGGGGAGTGGCTAAGTGATGACTACTGTATGCGTTTCTCTCTTACCCTGTACAGTCCGCTGAAAGGCACATCAATGGGCAAAGAGAACAGATTCTTGATCATTTCCTCAAAAGCTTCCACAAGCTCCTGCTCGTCAATTTTGATCTGCTCCGGCTCAAAGCCCAGCAGGATCCTCATGGCTATGCGGAACATCAGCCGCTTCATCTCCGGGTAGACTAGAACACAGGAGTCCTTAGCCAGCCACTCCTTCACTGCTGCCCGCATCTCCTCCTGGATGATGGGAACGTACAGCTCCAGAGCCTCCCTGGAGAAGGCCCGCATGATGGCCTGTAGAAGGGAAGGAGGGAAGGGGAGTTAGATTGTAGGATCTCTAGAGAAAATCCTAAAAGTTTATTTCTGTTGGAGATGGTTTGACATACTGTAACTGCAGTACCTTGTGTTTTCACTTGTTTTAAGAGAGTTGGATTTTAGGATCCAGTGATCACAAATTACTATGGCCTCTTATTTGTTCAGTAACTAATTTTCAGACACAGTATTGATAAAACTAATTATTTAATGAATGAACCCTTTTGTCAGTTATTGTGCTCCCTTATTCAGACTAAGCAAGATCAAGTAAGCAAGAGGAAAGATTTACTCTTGCTCTTTATTTTTCTGATAAATATGCCATCAAATCTAAATTTACTTAAAGCAGACTACAGTGCCATAGGCTGGCATGCATCTAATGTGCCAATAACAGATAAAAGGTAACTGATTTTAAAATGTACTGACCAAATTACTCAAAAGTAGCTTCTTTCCCATCCCACTGAGAGGGTTTCAACTTAAATCCGAACTTACCTTTTTCTTGGTCTTGTGTTGGGTTCCGTGCACGTTAGACAGTGTGTCCGAGCCCAGGATGGTGCGCACAGAAGCGGGCCACTGCACGGACACGAGCCTGTGTTCCCCCAGCAGAATCTGCTTGACATTATCCGCTCCAGTGACGCGCACCGTGGGGTTCCCGAAGAGGTGTGTGCGGTAGATGTAACCGTACTTCTGCCGCTTCATCCGCAGAAACTTTCTCCTCTACAAACACAGACACGCAAAACATTACTAAATAAACAAACACCGATACAGCTCTGCATAACACAGAGTCCACTACAATCCTAATCAATATATAGATAGGCTACTATGTTTGAAATTAACCAGTAGGCCTACTACTACACACTATTATAATGGCAGACTTAACTTAAAACTGCATATTTACTTCAATTAAATACCATCTTTAACCCTATAGGTGCCATAAGAAAGCGCACAAAGTTTAAATCAGTGGTATTTGTTTACCAAGATGAAAACAGGTAAAAGCCATAAAAAAAAAGTTTAAATCACATTTTCTAGTTTTCTGGAACATCCTTATCCACGTGTGGACATTATGAATCATGAAGTGTTTCCGCAGCCATGCTTTTACCTGGAGGATGAGCTGCAGCGTCTCTCCAATGAAAGGTAAGCCCATGGATCCGGGGGGCAGCGGGCTGGGACAGCTCCGGTCTCTGCTTCGAATCATGTAAACCTCCCAGAGCTTCAGCGTGACCAGAAACAACAGAATCGGAAGCACGATGGTGCACAGAAAGGTGGCCAGCAGTGTGCTCAGAGCCATGTTGCAGCGGCTTCTGTGACAAACAGTATCTGGTTGGAGAAGTGATGCAGTTCAGGTGAAGCTCTGTCTACGGAGTCTCAGGGCGGCTCATCCAGCGCTTTTATAGGCTGCCAGGACTGCGGGCAGCCTGTTACCTTCTCCTCCCTCAGATAAATTAGTTCACTCAAAGTTCATCTTTAATTGTGGGTGTCGTTCGGCCCCGCCCCCGGCCTGTAGCCTACTGGATGACTTGCCTCACCATTTGTTCCAGGGGCCGCATCTTTAATCCCTACCTCCTGTTGCACGCAGACAATCCGCGCGGATTTCACTGAGAAAAGGTGAGGATTCCTTCAGAGACAATGGAAGCGCGTCCCGAGACGCCTTTGTTGCCAATGAGGCAGCTAGTTTACACACTCATTACCTTGGTTTAAGCCCCGTTTGTAGGATCTGTAATCATGCCTGCAGGGCGGCCTGCATTCAAGAGCAAAAAGCTTTTAAGCAGCACATTTCAACTGCTTCAGTAAATGGAAAAGAACAGAAGAATTCCCTAATCCCCTTCCCCGTGGGTCTCGCTGATGCCATTCAAAGTTAACCCTACTTTTTATTTAATTGTAGTTCATTGTAGGCTATATGCTGCCTGCACGCAATTTCACCTTTTATAATTTGATTTGGATGCACCCTACTGTTTGCACATTTTCTTTTCACAGATTTCCCCACGTGACTGTAATTATCCTAACCATTAGCCCGATCCTTCCCTCTTGCCTTCATGATCTGATCAGTGCGGCAAGGAGCTGACTATGAGAGATGAAATAATGACTAACACCCATCTGGAAAGAAGCTGCCCTCTGCTTGACTCTCAGTTTCTATCAGTCTGCTTACAGAGGGAGCCGCTTCCTAATCTAGAAAAGACTTTAACCTGCTCTCTCCGCCCCGTGTGTGTGTGTGCGTGTGTGTTATAAAAATGATATCTCTCTCAGCGGGTTCACACTTGGGTCAGCAGAGACAAGCAGAGGGACGGGCGCACATGTGCATGCACACGCGAGGTTGTCCCCGGGCTACGCCGTATGAAAAATAAACACAGAGCAGGCCCTCAGAAGCCGAGGCACCGCATCCTCACTGCCTCTGTGGGAGGGTGGAACATATCAGTATTCATGCGCACCAGTGGGCCTAACTCAGACGCCTACTTGGCTGCCTAACCCGTCCTCCACCTAAGCTAGTTTACTTAGTTCGGTGTAGAAGCAGGGGTGGGGTGGGGTGAAGATACAATATTCAGGTGCGCCGCCACACCTGACACTTAATCCCTTGATGCAAGTTGGAAAAGAGACTATATGATGAGCCCTGAAAACCAGACGTCTCCTTCATAAAAAAGATTTATTGTATCACCAGACTGATGTGTGTAGAGCTCTGAATAGTTGTACTGTCAGGGGCGTAGCACAAAAATCTGGACCCTGTACATAAGCATTCTCTATAGGCCTCTCACTCAGAAATTGTAATATATTACTAGTTACTTATTACTCCTTAAAACAGTAATATTATTACTTTACTTATTACTGGGTGATAAAAATAACTAGTTATGTTACTACATTACTTTCCAGTGTTTCCCACAGAATAAAGGGGAGGTTGTGCATGAGAGAGAGAGAGAAAGAGGGAGCAAGCAAGTGAGAGGAGGTGGTGCTGGGAATATATGCTCCTCAATAAAGCTCCTCAATCAAATATGATTTTAAATGCGCCTAGTAAAAGAATTTTAGAAAATCAACGTGTGGAGGTCAGTGTTGATAATTATCCAAATTATAGGCTAATTATGGGAAACACTGCTTTCACTTCCACCCCCTTCACCCCCAAACAAAGCAGCCTCTCGCGACATTTTAACTAATATCATATTCATAACAGCAGCAAGGAGTGTGTTTTTTACAAAGCATATAGCCTAACGTTTCTTAACGGCACCGGCTGAAATAAAAAAAATAAAGCAAGTAAATCCCGACTTTTAAATAGCTGTTCTTCACATGTAGCCTGTTTATAAGAGCAGTTACAAAACGTTACATTAACGCCACTCTCTCCCGACGAGTCCAGCATCAGTGTCAGTTGCTGCCAGAGTTTTTTTCTGTAAGTTTCACGTCGCTGTGCTGTTTCAGCAGATGCTTCATTAAATCAGATGTAGAAATGTTCGCACTGAAAGCTTTTTGCTGGTCGCACAGAGTTTACAATAGACGACAATGTTCTTTGCATCTTAGACTGTGACACAATAATGGCAGAAGCTACTTACAGCTGTGGAAGTAAACCTGGAAAGAACGCCTCTCTCCCTCGTTCTCCTTTCTTCCTTTAGTTTTTGGCTATCAGCGGACATGAACAACAGAAGGTCAGGTGCCGCTGACCTGCTGCACAGTCCTGGATTCACATCAAGGATGGTGCGTTCAGTAACGAGCAACGCAGCGTTGCTTGCTTTAGTAACTGTAATAATATTACTTTTTTAGAAAAGTAATTAGTTACACTAATAGTTACTGAGAAAAGTAATATTATTACAGTAACTGTGTTTATTACAGTTACTGTAATAAACATGGGGGCCCTGTATGGGGTAGGCCCTTTCAGTCCTACCCCATACTGTAGCAGCCTGGTGTCTTTTCAGGTGATGTGATGATGGTAAACACTGAATGGCACTGCGCTCTGGCGCTGCACTTCTCAGAGGCTACGGATTTATCAACATATCAGTCCTGCTGCCTTCAGGTGCTTCAGGGATTTCATGTACTGCAGGGGAAGCTTTTCATTCTGTATAAAGCAGCTGTAGACCGCGGATACTGTAAGAACCACACAGATTCATTCTTAGATCAATGCAGATTGATTTCCTGCTTTTCAGTGCCGAGATTTGGTTGGAATAAATGATTTATATTTTGAGCATGAATCCATTGTTGTAGCACGTCTGCAGCATGAGAATAAACTACTATCATCCTTTTTATGCTCACAACGAGCTGGACCCCAGTCTGGAGCATGAAATGGGGATCTATGGTAGGCTCTACTGGGTGAAAACAGCACTACAACACATTAACTAGCTAGTTAACAGAAAATTCATTATAGTTTAGCTATAGGCCTGCTATACTCCTCTATTACACAATAAAAGCAACATGTGCAATAATGACAAAGGCTGCAGAACAAGAGGTCAGTCTCTTTGTCTCTCTCTCTCTCTCTGGATAGCCATCAACTTCACACAACCCTGCACTGTTAGGCCACGCTAGAAACGACAGTTACGTGTAACTAGAAATGTCCGGTTGTAGACGTGGCATAAGCACACATACCGCCTCGGGATTTTAACAACCTGGGGGAGTTTACATTCTACAATTAATAACATTGTGGGTATTATTTAAGACTGATAATCAGTGACTGATCCATCATGTCAGATCATATTGTGCTTTATTGCTAGCCTACATATTCCCAAGCAATGTTTCAATTAAAAAAACAACTTGCAGATAATATTATCGAACTGATAACTAAATAAATCATTTAAAAATCAGACTTTCTTTTGAGTATCCACACTTGAAGTGAATGGAGGGGGTTGGGGGTTTGTCTAATGACCCCAGTACTTTTAAAAAACCAATGAACACAACATCAGCCACAGCATTACTGCACAAATCCTTGTTTACTCTCTGTTCAGACAGATGACAGGTGATGCATCTTCGGGGTGAATGGGTTTCCAGCTGTCATGCTGTAGCTGGTGAGTTTTTCTCATCACAATGTGATTGTGTGAAACAGGATTCTGCTGTTCAGGTGTGATACAGCAGGCAGAAGGAGGGGGCGGGTGGGTGAAGGGAAGTTCAAGTGTAGCGAGTGATTAGAGGGTCTACATCTCACCATGCTGCTCCACAAACTCACTGTAAACCTGCTGATCACCTGCTGGACGCCACCTCAAGACTGACCAGAACTCTCCACCTTCACTGCTGTGGAGTACTGTAAACGGTTCGGTAGAGGAAAGTTTGTTTAAGTTATCTGAGGAAGGTTCAAATAAAGGGCAACTGGACTTGGTTCAAGATACTCGAAGAACTTGTTTACATTATGTTTTTACCCTGGTCCATTTGTCCATCCAACACTTTGGTCCAAATATGGGCATCTTGCCCCATAATCAGGTTAAACAGAGCTTTTCTGGTCTACCAACCACTCGAACACTTGTCACATTCATACACTGATGAACATCAGTTCTATGGGCATTTCCATCAACTGCTCTCAGGAGTGATGTTTTCTATCCAAAGCGCTCAGTGCCACCAAACCCATTTCTTTTATTAACTTATTTGAGGTAGAGTGGAAAAAAACAACTCTATGGGTAACAAAAGAGTAACGAAGAGCATTTAGGGGAAAGGAGACATTATACTGTAAGTGTTTTTGTAAATACCAGTACTGTCTTATAAAGCTTTAATCTCTTTTTGTAACCTACTATTTTGGGGTTAAAGGAAAAATATGAAGCTTTATATTTCTTTCTACTTTACATTTTAATTCTTTAACTGTGTTTTATTGATATATTCAGTTAAAATGTACATATGGATGCATGAATTACATGAACTATTACATATCAAAGTAAAATGGCTCATTCTGAAGGCAGGTTAATGGTGTCACATTTACATGTAGCATGTGTTTACATGTTTACACGTAGCATCATATAATGTTGCTGTTGGTTCTGGACGTCTGAAGAATTATTGGGGAGGCTATAGTTTACAGCAATGCGTCATATTTATGAGTAACATAACTGCACTTAAATATGGTACCTGAGTAAATGTTTGCAGTGATGAAGTCTCTGTTCCACAACATTACAGCTGATTCACTGAGTCATAGTGTTTACTGTTATCACCACTCAGACTTAACTGCAGGAGTTCAATAAACACACACACACACACACACACACACACACACAGAGCCATAGTCAGCACATTTGCTGCGTGTTTGTGCCTCCCCCTGTTCGTGCACTGGATGACCTGCTTGTGACCCTGACATCTCGGTGAACTCTCATGCAAAACCAAGTTCACTGGCTGTTAAACATAGAGAGAGAGAGCGAAACAGAAAAAGAAAAGTGAGAGAGAGAGAGAGGGAAAGAAAGAAGAGAGAGAGAGAAGAGAGAGTGAAATAGATAGAAAAAACAGAGAGTGCATTGCTTAAGCTGATCTGTCTGTTCAGATATCCAAACAGTTAAATAATTGAATGAAGCTGTTGAAGCAGGCAGTCCTAACAGACAGTTCATACTGAGTTTACACTTTCTTGTGCAGTCACTTTAGCTTGTGTCATAATTTAAAAACATGATTATCCCTGTGAGACTGGGCAACACATTCTAAAGCAGGGCTAAACACAGAGTGATTATTGGACTTAAACTCATCAGGTCAAACACAACTCCAAATGAATACTAACGTTGCATCAGGGTTATTTCTTCACACTTGGGAAAGCTCCTCCAGATCTGTCACAAGAACTACAACTTAGTCAGTGGCTCTGGAGGAGCTTTTCCAAGTGTGAAAAAACAACCCAAAGTACAGAACGTACTGACAGTAATAAGCTTTCATTTGCTTTGAGCAGGTAAAATGTGAACGGCACACTGTAAACTATAGGGCTGGTATGTGTGTGGAGGTCAGACCATGTGAATGTGTTCCTGGGTCAGAGGAGGTATGTGTCTCCTCCTCCTCCCCTGTCTGCCTGCTGTATTGTTGAAGTGAATGTAAAACCTGTTTACTGCCTTGTAAAAGCGTTTGATCCCTGCACTAAAATACTTGTCACTCCTGTTCACATGCAGGAAGGAAACACTGCCCCCCCCTGCCCCTGCATTCACACAGGAACGCTAAATCTGCTGGTTTCACCCAGACATAATTAGTCATGAACTGTGATGTTGGCTTTTGTTATAAGTGATATCCAGGATTGGTTATGTCAAGTAACTCAGAATGTCACCAATAAATTGAACCAGGGACTAAAACCGCACCTACCTCAGAGCAGGCTTGGACTTTCCTGGTGGGCCAACACAACTGTCTTTTTTGGGGGGTCTGACCGGCCCATAAAACAGGTAGACTGGCCAAATGTTTTTTTCTTAACTGACATTGGACTGGGCCAATCACATCTTTAAACCCTGCGCTGGGCACAGTAAAGAGGATGAGGGTAGTGGAAGGACAGTAGAACTCAGAATAAGCAGAAGCTAACAATGTGCTGTCTGCCTGCCTCAACAATATGTGATATGGTCATTATGTAGCAACAGGCGAGGTGGCTGGCAATGGCCAGTGGAGAGGAGCAGGTGTGTGACAGGGAAGCTGTGGAACAGTGCGAGCAGGAGGAGAGTGTAGTTCCATGTAGGGAAACGATGATAATAAGATAAGATGCTATCATAAAGTGGGACAGTCAATGCCAAATACCATAAACTTGGTAAGTCAACCCAGGGTTTCCCAATCGAGCCGTGAGTGTGTTCATAGAAAAGGGATCGTGTTTTCAAAGGGATGACCAATCGCACACATGAACAGGTCTACAGGCAGCAGAGTGGCATATTTTACAAACCAAAAGAAAACTATAATATTAGACAAATAGGAAGTTAAACACATAATCCAGGCTAAAAGTAACACAGCTGCAGCTGCAACACGCAGGAAGACACAAAACATCTGTGTGAATGTGGAAGTTTACAGAGTCATAATATCACTGCCCATCATTATAGCACCAGTACATCCGACTATAATTACATTTATGTGATCCATAAAATGAATGTGTTGCTTATTCTTATGGCTTGTTTGACCAACTTAACTTGACTATCATAATGTTTAGCCTCACATAAAAAGAACAATGAAACCACTTCATTTAATGACTGTGACAGGTTGGGTGAAACAGATTTGGGAGCAAATTAAAAATAAATATAAAAACCTAATTCAAAGCGGTGAGTAGACTTACTGTCATATCTTAAAGTACAAGTACAAGGCTTTAATGCCTCAGTCAGTCTCTGTTGGATGGTATCGGTGTACAAAAGCATCTCTGCATCACACACATAAAGTAGCCTATAAAACAGTCAGAGGGATCTTCTATGAATGGTAAAGTCATTTTGCAAGAGAACTGATTGGGCAGTGGGCGGTGCTTTTTAATTATGTTGATCTCTTATCTTGAACATAACCTGCTCCAGAGCAGGATAGCCGTTCAGCGTCCAGAAGGATGGTGTACTGGTGAGTGGTGTTCCAGCGATTGTGGGGGGCTGGTCTGGGCCAAAAATGCCAGGGCCGATTTGTTGCTCAATTTCAGCCCTGCCTCAGAGTAGCTCTGACAGTAGTGACGAAGCGTCCTGCACTGACTTTCAGCATCAGAGGGACTACTCCTGGGAGAGTGTGACGCCCCTGTTTCACCACTAAATGTGCAAATTATGAGAACATGTTGTGGACAGCCCTTTGGGTTATTACTGGTGAACTTCAAAATACAGAACATGGCACCACTTTTTTTTATCTGTATTTATAAATAAATCACCATTGTAGGCTGTAAATTAACTCTAGAAAGTTGCGGGTGGAGCCTACAAAATATATTATTCTAATTATATCATTATATTTTAACATTTTAAAACATTAGATAATTGGACGTGTGTGACATATCCCACATGCAGAGATGGTGTTGCAAACCCTCTGTGGGCTCTGAGGAAATTTCTGGCCTTTCCTTTCTGGCTTGCAGTGGTAGAAGTATTCACTTAAGTAAAAGTAGTAGTCTCTTAAAGTAAAAATATAACATTACAAGTAAATGATATTACCTTCTGAAATTATGGAGAAGTATAAAATAGCATTTATAGTAATAAACAAGTAATTTTGGCTTGTAGTATCAGCAGAATGGTGTTTTTTGCTTTCCTCTTTCCTCAAATCTTCTATTTGTAGATATAGACTGGTGGAGTAAGTGTTGGTAGAAGAAAGGTCAAAATGTTAAAGAAGAATAGAACGTAAAAGAAAAAAGAATGTAACGAATGTATTGAGAGTGCACAGTAAGCCTCCGATAAAAACAAACACATTTCTGTGTGTTGGCTGCTGTGATAATGGAGCTCTCTAAATGTCTCTCGCCTCATTACATCTGCGGCGACAGGGATCCTCGCATTCAAACGATGACCCAGGCCAAAGTTCACTTGCTGTTTCCCTGTTAGCGTGTGTGTGGTGGGATAGAGTGAGGCACTGAGAGTGAGATACAAGATGACAGAAAACCTTCACGGAACAAGTGATGCTTCTGTCTTTTTGTGTGAGACGGGGGTGGGCACTCATATCTAGGCTGTGACTGGTGATGCAGTAAAAGAAGAGGCCCAGTCCTTTCTGCACCCTAGTTTCCCTCAGTGGCTCCAGAGGGTCAGTTCAACCCCCCCCCCCTCAAAAAACAAACATATCTCTCAATGACCTCCTACCTGTACACGCCTGTTTCTACAGCTCATATATCTGGTGAATAAGAAATAATATTAATAATTAGAAACCAGAGCTGGAGGACCCTCCAGTGTCCAGTGCTGGACAGACAGACTGATCAGAACAAACTGAATTCTTAACAACAAGCAGATGCTTCTGTTGAATTATCTTTTATTACAGCACACAAAATAAAAATAACAAATTTAAGAAAACATCTCAGTTAGGGTATCTTACTGAGAACAATGACAAAGGTAAAGCAAGGATTCCTTTGGATATTGTGTATGTACCCTCTCTCCACTTCTGTGGAAGGAAAAAAAACAACAAGCTCGCCGTTTTAACAGGAAACAGAAATGATGCCAAATCAAAAGATCCCAGACTGATTCCCTTTGTACTTTGAGTTGTTAGGTAAGTATCTGAATCAACAAAATTCACAAGGATTTTCTTTTGTATATTATATTAATGAACATACTATATCAAATATTTACCTCATCTGGAACTGTATTTCTAATTCCCATGTTTTCTAGGTATATTTGACCATTGTTTTGAAATGACAGAAATGACTTTTACAGCTAATTTGCAACAGCAGATCCTTTTTGAAGGTTTGGTGCCTGGATTTGACTTTTTTTCTCTGGTATGTCCTGCACTTGAAACAAATCAGTAGTATAAAATGTCAACATAACTGCTTTGAGACAGGGTTGTATGAGTTAAAGGCCTGCCTGATTTCTGATCCACTTGTGTATTTTGCTGTTGATGTAAACTCAACACTTCCGCCATGTTTAATTGTTGTCTTGATAAGAAACCTCCAACACCAGAGTCATGCTGTACTCCCCATTCTGCTGCTAGGAGTTTCTTTTTTCTGTCACAGACTTACTGCTTCCATACTCTGATCGCTTCTACTTGCCATTGTTTCAACTGCTGTTAAGTTACTCTCAATGAAACCCTTTTTTTCTGGCAGGGTTTAAATGTGAAAGCTCTGCACTGACAGTGGCTTAGTGCTAAAACCCCTGACAAAGTAGAAAGAATTGGACATAATTAGTGAATGAAAACAGTATTTGTGCTAAAATGAAAAAGTGAGAGCAGCAGAGTGGTGAGTATGACATGATTGTACGGATGGAATTAGTACTGTACAAATGTACATGATGCTGTGTGAGGCATTATGCTACAGGAATTCCACCTATTCTCAGTTTCTTAATCAGCCTTTATTTGTTAGGGCTAGCCCTGATTTTTGAATGCTGAATTTGAATTTGAGAATTTATGGCAAAATGGGCATGAATGCATGGGAGGAGAGGGAGAGCTGAGTGACCAGGCACTGTACACACCTCTGAACCAGGAGAACCAGTTTACACTCATGAGATGAATCCCAGAAAGGAGGTGTGTCCACAGAAAGCCTTGGACTGAAACTGAATTTGGAACTGTACTTTATCTTGGATAATATCTATTAGCAGTTAGTTGAAATCTTTACAAACGTCAAATTGGAATGTTACTCAGGGTCATGCTAGAACATAATATAGCATTTTTATATCTTAATTAACCATGCAAATGAGTGGAGAGAAGGTACCAACGTAAATCACTGAGCTCCTCACAGCTCAAATCAGTGTTCACCAAGTAAGCAACAAACGCAAATTCAAACTCTTATTAATTACATATTTACTTTAGGTGTTGATGGAGGCGCATATCACAGTGTCAACCTCCAATTCTGTTTGTAGCAGACAAACTGCTGTGATACTTTCTTTACAAAATATGCAGTATATACAGTGGCATTTACACACAACTTTAAAAAAAGGCAAGAAATAAATCTAAACTTTAATCCGTTTCAGTGCAAAAATGCCTGTTGAAAGTGGAGCACAGACCCAAAACATAAATAGAATAGAAACAGTCTCATTATAAAATGTCATCTGGAGTCATGAGCAGATTTTAGGTGAGCATCAACCTGCCTGCGAGGCTGTAAAGGAACCAATTCATTATTGCTGTGCTTTGTGGATATACATGGGTCATGAGATTCTAAAGCTTCATTTCACCCTGAGGACATAAAGAAAGAATTTAGGATGCAAGTTACTGAACTGTTAGATATATAATAATATATGATCACTAATAACAATTCCCCATGTGGGCCTGGTTTTCTTTTTTGCGTGAATCAAGTAGTTTGGTTGTAGAGAAAACTGCAGTTAATGTCACTTAAATAATGTCCTTAACCCTACAACTGACAGGAGGGAGGAATAGGGCATGCACTGATGTCACCTTTACATGATACCCACTGACCACCCTCACCCACCACTGAGTGGCCAAACACTGCTGTGGAAGCCATGAAATAGTACAGCTGTGATCCTGGAAGATAAACAAACTAATGTGTAATTGTACATATAAAGGTAATCAGATTAATCAATGATGTGTACAACGTGCCAGTTGGGCTGTGGATACTGAAATGTCTCCACCTGGTATTAACATTTGATCTTTAATGGATACTGGCATCTGGACATAGGCCTGAGCACTTGCACCTGGTATTAAGAGGTGTTCTCATCTAGATTCTTTCCATACTGTGTTCAAATCTCAATAATCCAAGTAGGCAAGCAGAACTGCTGGACATATGAACAAACACGACGCAAAACAAAACTATGTGGGAGACTCTTGGTGATCCTTTACGGCATGCAAAGTTAGGGTCACATCACAGACTGAGACAGCCAAAAGCATCTGTAGGCCACCAGCTGAGTGCCTTACTAAAGTGCAAATTATACGTACATCCGAATAGCTGCAAGCGACGTAAATTTCATAATCTTTCTATGTCCATGAGTAGCCCACAATGCAAGCTTGTGTAGACTGTACGATCCATACTGCACGTTTGAAAATGCCCATTCAGACACTCAATGTAGCATAAAGGCAACCACGTGTGCATTTACTGTCTGTGTCCGTGGCTGTTCTGTATATTATATCTGTCTGTTAACTAGTTACTTAAAGGGCCGATATACTCCAAAACAGACAGGCACAGGAAATAGCTTTACAAAATAAGCAGTATATGCAGTAGCATTTACACACAACTTAAAATAATTAAAATTAATTAGATTAATTTAAGAATTAATCTAAAAGAAAACTTTAATCTGTTTCAGTGCAAAAATGCCTGCTGAAAGTGGAGCACAGACCCAAAACACAAGTCATGTGCAGGTTTTAGGTGAGCATCAACCTGCCTGTTTATACCACACTGGGTGTCTACACAGGAAGGTGTGCTTTCCTATAGTTCTACATTTTTAACAGACCCCTTGTTTAAATAGCTAATTAATGAAACTGACTTTACAAGGACAATAAAATATTTTTTAAGGTAATCAGAGCCAGAGTAGAAGCTTGCTATCACTAGTGCTAGCTTGGCTAACCCCACCATTCATGTAACTCGTGTCCTGCACGTGTCCTGAAGTCTACTTCTTTTACCTTTAAAGAGGAAGGCCTTGTCTGTAGCTTATTGGCCTTCAACTAGTTGTATGGATTTTTTTCCTTAAGAATATTTCCAAACAATAGAGACGTGATTTATACATTTATACCTGTTTGAGAACTGACCACAACACACATCTAGAGGTGGTCTGGCTGATCCAATCACATTCCGATAGCTATATGTTCTGTCTGCAGTTACACAAACACGCCCAGATAACGACTGCATGTTGATACCAGGTGACAGTGTTATGTGATCGGGGGCAAATTTCTCATATGGTGACATCACATGCAAACCCTCCAATAGGATTGCTTCATGCAGTGGTCACTATGACATAGCCCAAAATCCTCATCAGACTCTTGAAGACTTTGCTGAACAAACCTGTCCAACCTAATACAATCCACGAGCCTCATTACAGCAATGTCCTTAGTCTGAAATCCTATCTTATCTCAGTTTAGGATGGCGTTTAGGATTTTTAGTATTACAAAAACATGTTTCCTTAATGCATTTGGGGGAAAAATCATATCTCATCTCAGGATAGGAATTTAGCTATTACAGAACCGTCCTAACTGAAGAATTTCCTAAGTTAGGATGGTACAGACCCGGTCCTAAATTCAAAATAACTAAAAAGCTAGCTAGCCAGTGAAGAGTGAAGTGCGACAGGCAGTCAGGTACATTCTAAACACACATGTAGGCGTGACAGGACGAGTGCCGATTGAAGAATCAAGTTTACAGCTCCAATTAGGATTTCTTAGGTTAGGATAAAATACATGGTTTGAGATAGGATAGGACACATGAGTTTAGGAACTGCTTCTGTGGTAGGAAGATATGATTTTAAGAGCAGTTAATAAATGTTTGTGTTTGTTTGTTGTTTTAACAGATTGCATAATTTAGGAAAGTGTGTCCCAAGCAAGATGGACCCAAAAATGCTTCTTTTCAGATTTTCAGCCCCATTTTTGACATTCTCATGTGCAAAGCACGTGAAGATTCCAACTACAATCTGGGTGTCAAAGACTCACCCCCATAACCGCTATCTGCAAACAAGTTCCATCACATTTGGCTGTGACAGCCATGTGTCGTGTGCAAGCACACTCCTCCATGTTCAGTCACTAAGGTTCTGTCTCAGGACGTTGCTTCAAATATACAATGTGAGGCAGAAAAGAAGACAAACAGCAAGCAAAGACACCACTGAGTTCAACAAAACTTCCCTTTTTTTCCCCATGAACATCAGTCTTTGAAGACGTCATCATCCATTCATATATTCTTCTATCATTCCATGACCTCAATGTCACTGTGTTTCTGCACACACACATACACAGTAACAGCAGTTGAAGTGTTGGGACAATGAGTTTAACTTGGTTTTTCCATAAACAGGACTCTGTTGAAGTAGATAGATGGTGAAAACCAAATGGGAACAGTGACACATTTTCATGCCAGGCTAACCATCTGTATATGATTCATCACATTTTTGATATCATAGCTATTTTACAGAAACTGCAATGATAGTTAACTAGAAAACCAAGTTACCAGCCACACCAGAAAATGGCACAAGCCATTATTTATACTTCTTAATGATTTGGTGATGCTTGACGCTTAATGACATTGTGACTATTTATACTGGATTTGCAATTCTCTGAAGATATGTATAAATGTCCCGGTAGGTTTAAATAGAGAAGGATGTTATGAGTTACCACAGGTCCAGAGGATCCAACAAGACTCAACACCAAGTAAGCCAATTGATTGATTCCATTCTTGTAAAGTAAACAAAAATTATAAACATATACTCACAATCTGTACAACTATAAAAGAATTATTCATGTATGTGAATGTTCTACGGACATTACGATAAATAAGACGATACAAGAGAACATGTTTATAGCTCTAACTTGTTTCTCATCACTGACTTTTAACCATGCCACATGTCCTCAGTGCAGCAGTTAATGCACTGACAGAGCGGCTTATACAGACAGGACACTACGTCAGCTCTGCGGGTCGTTTGCAATAAATCCGTGGTGCAAATTGATGTGTCAAAGTTGAACTGGACAAATCTCTGCACATATTTACTTAGCCCAGCAACTGAGTCCTTTGATGGCAGTGATTCCATAGAAATGCAGTCTGAAATAACAGTATTGGAATATAAATCAACAGGGAGATCCATTAGAGCCGCAGATCCAAAGGGGTAGAGGATACGAGAAACCTCATATCTTCTTCCAAGACGATTTTTCCTGAAGAAAGACTTCTTTTGCTGTGTAACTGGGTTTCAAATTTTTTATATTGTTTTTTTAAAATTCAGACCCACAGACTCACATGGTAAGGTAAAACTCAAAATAAGTTCAGTGGTAGTAAAGAAGCCTGAAAATCAAACTGATTTTGGAAAAACCATGTTGCTACTTTGTTGTGCCATTACCTGCGTAACCTGTGTCTAACTCGGTTACTTGGTTTCTTTTTTAGCTAACACGAGACCCATGTTAAATGGATGCACAACTGTCACAATGTTGGCTGGATTGGTCATTATTGAGTTATGGCCTCGTATTTTGCCTTTAAATGATGACAGTTATAATAACTGACATTCATCTGATCACTAGATTACCAATAGCCTGATCTCTCTGTAGATTTACAATTAATTTTTAATTCTTCAGACTGAAATGCAAGAAAATGCATTCCACCTTCATCCATGCAGGACAAATGTGCTCTAATCTAATCAGAAGGAGTGTTATCATGTCAAAAGTATAGTATAGGTTTGTGATAGGACAACAGGAAATGGTTTATCCCATTTACCAAGGGTGCAGTAAGTGTTGACCTTTAACCTCGTTGTCCCAGTACTTGAGTGTCACTTCCTCTGCTGTACCAGTCTCTCTCTGCAGCTACAATCATTACACTCTCACAAATGTACAAAACATAGTTTGTCTTGTCATAGCCATTAAAAATACTTTACAAACATGTTACTGTTCAGTCTTGTGAATAGTCTAGTAAACTGTTTAATATGCGTGTGTGTTATTTACATTGAGTATTCAGTCAGGTATAATAGTAAGGAGAGGATATGACTTCATGTGTTGTCTGTTCCCTGCATGCCTTGTACAGTGTGTGTATTGCTGTGCCTTTATGTTATGTAAGCTGTCTGTCTGTCTGTCTGTCACTATGGTGTGTCTGTATGTGTGTGTGTGTAAATTCCCTGTGTGGTTCTTCATCTGTATGTCACTTCATTACCTGTGTAAAAATCTCCTTCCTTTGTGAGTGTTTTGGCAGTTCAGTGTGTGCATGTGACTGCATGCATGTTTCATTCTTTATATCTCTTCGTGACACACACGTCACTCTGGTGTGTGTGTGTGTGTTTAGGAGGACATGCCATTGACCAGGCTCCTTAGTTGTTTGACCACAGTCTCTATCAGCTTCTGTTTGTCTCTGTCATTCTTCCTGAACTGAGAGAAGATGTTGTTCTTCTTACTGGTGTCCTTCATCCTGGACACAGAGAGACAGAGAGACAGAGAGTGTCAAAGAGAGAGAAGTCACAAAAATTGATTCTCTGAGCAGTGTGCTCATAATTTGGATTAGTAACAATTTCTCAATTAGTGGGGATGGGCTTTTCTTTGCGGAGGGGCAGTTGCTCCCATACATTGAAGATGTTGTCACACCTAACCTGTGAGGTTTGGTTCAAATAAACTCTCATTTGATGTCATTTGATGTTTAGTTAACTTTGTTTTGGCTAGTGTGAAAGCTGGCAATCAAACTCTGGTATGGACTGTACACACGGACTAAGACTAAAGAGGAGGATCTTGGTCCGTTTCCAAATGGGCACTGGTGCATTTAATTTGTGGTGTGAACGCAAAATGAACCAAGTGAGTGCGAAAATGAAAAAGAGTTCAAATATAGCTAAATTATACAATATCATTTAAATGTGGTCTACCATATTCAGTAAAGGACAAAGCAAATTCATCTGCATACTGGATTTTAGCTTCTGAGCTAAATTCAACTGAACAGGCAACATTTTCATCATACAAATGGCTAAAATGGCAAAGGTCAAGGTGTACATATAAGAACAAATAGTTACATCACGCCGATGTCATGGAGAGACAATAAAAACAACACATTATTTAAATGAAAATTGTATCCCTGCAGGGCGGCGTGGTGGTATAGTGGTTAGCGCTGTTGCCTCATAGCAAGAAGGTTGTGTGTTCAAATCCCTGTTTCCGGGTGCTCCGGCTTCCTCCCACCCTCCAAAGACATGCAGGCTAGGTGAATTGGTGACCCTAAATATATATACCCTTTGGACTGGCCATAACACCATGTTTGAGCATAGGATAATTCATAAGTGTAGTTGGTAACAGAACACCTTAGGTCAAACATCAGTGATCAATTCTGTGGTTGTCTGCAGGCCAGGTTCTCTGCAAGAAAATGGTGGAATGCTTCCTCCGGGTTAGGAGTGAGTTACCTCCCCAAGAGGGCTTTAAGTATCTCAGGGTTTTGTTCATGAGTTAAAGTAAAACGGAGCACCAGTTGGACAGGCGGATTGGTGCGGTGTCAGCAGTAATGCGGGCTGAGCTAGGAGGCAAAGCTTTCAATTTAACCCTCACCTATGGTCATGAGCTTTAGGTAGCATGCCGTGCTTAGCCTGCCGAAAATGGGTGGATTGATGGACAGAGGATAGATTCTAAAAAAACAAATTGTTGCCAAAAATATTATTTAGTTACCTATTTAGTTGACTATGACATTAGCATGATGTAATTTTGAAAGTCTGTGAACATTTTGACTCATGAATAATTTCCCTGTTCAGATTACGAAGCCACAATCCACTGTACAGATACCATATACTTCTTTTTAAAGCTGCACTAGAGTTTGATTTTTTCCGCATATTTCTTACCCTCCCTCATCACTGAGATCTGGGCTCAAGATGCTGGACTAGGCTTTAGAATGTAGCTCATGCAGCATCAAACCATGTGGCACTAGACATGTTTTCCTGTTTAACCCAATTACGTGGTTAGGTTCAAGCAGGAATTCAGGAAATACAGCAATGTAATCAATAATGGACTTTAACCTTAACTAAAATATTACAGCTTAGTTCGGAATTTGTGCGGAGCTAAGGAGAAGGCAAACTAGGAGGTAGATCCATGTTTAGATTACCAGAGCATGCATAGACAGGACCAAAGACAAGCAGCACCTACCCCCTGTAGACTCTGAGCAGCATCAGTTAGCAACAATGAGAGATGATTTAGAGAAACAGAAGAGCAAAAATTAAACCATGACATAAAGAGAGGAGAGGAGAAAAAAGACAAAGCTGTCACATTCATATCTAAGGTTGTCAATTCAAGTTATATGCAAGAATAAATGTAATTTAAGTGCTATTAATGTAAAATAAAATGTTCAAATGTTGCTAAAACCTTCTTACAAATCAGATCACAGAAAATGTTTATGTGTTAGCACGCTAACATTTTCATAGATAATCATGACACCTGATCTGAATTAATCCAAGAGCAATCTTGGAACCTGCAACCAAATCTTGCCTTATAGTTTCTGAAGTGAAAAGGCAATAACCACAGACTATCCCAACTGCCAATCAAAGCGGCCACGTCCTTACTTTTGCATTACTTTAAGCCAGAAATTTGGGGAAAAAAGGTGAAATCTCATCAATGAAAACAAAATGCAACAAAGTGCAATGGAAACAGGCTTTGTGACTAAATCTGTTTATTAATTAGCAGTTTTTATGGCAGAATTACTGGAAATTTGATAAAAATGCCCCACATTTGGATGGAAACTTGACTACTGTTGAAGTCAAACATCCTAGCACTAATACTGATGTTTTAAGGTTCAAAAGACATTTTAGGCTATTTGTTTGTTGGGGACTATCAGCACACTCACATACTAAGCCTCACCCTTGCACAAATGTGAACCGTCAATGCTACTTGGCCATTCAAAAGAGTGATGTTGAAATATTGTAGAGATCACTCACTTCTCCAGTAGAGCCAGGGCAGTGGCTGGGTTCACTCTCAGGTATTTAGAGGTTGGCTGGCCATAGTCTGCCAGGTAAGTGGACCAGTCCCACACCATGAACAGGTCCAGGAGCTATAACACACAAATACAACAGAACATCACTTCAGACAGAACCTGAGAGGGGAACAGAGGAAGACTGATGCTGGTAGCGTGTGAGAGTTTGTTTGGGGATGGTTATGAAGAGACAGTGTGTTTGATGTGGGCCAATGAATATACTAAACCAGGATTGTTTGGGAGGCGGTCAAATGCCCCATCTAAGGGATATAATAACAATACTGTGGAAAAAATAAAGAAACCAAGAACGTCTCTCGTGGCTTTAATGTAATAATGGACTCTGTAAAATTGTTTCTTGTGTGCATATATTTTATTTGTTACTATAAGCTGCTAATTAGATTGATTCAACAGTCTTGTTGTATGAATGCGTGCAGTGTGTAAATTACATTATTTCTAGTTCATCTGGATGTCGCAAACCAGACCAATTTATTGTAGTAGATGTTTAACAACAGCTCCATCACTCACACATCACATAATATTACTTCACTTATCGTAAAACTGATAAAGAGATCAGATGCTGTATGCAATGATCCACTTGGCAGCTCTCAGTCTCACTTTGGATGCTGAGCTAACATTACATTAGCTAATGTTGTTGCTGCTGCTCAGCTCTAAATGCTCTGCAGGTTCTTAAAATATTGATACTATGTGCTTAAGACCCCTTCCACACTATTCTGTTTTTGTTTAAAAATGAAGTATTAAAACAAATACTATCTCTGTCCATAGCAGCGTTTTAGCTGTGTATCAGACTGAAAACGCACATCTATTGGCCGTGCATGTACACCGGGCATGCACGTGTCGATGTAAACATGAAGCAGATGGTCTATTCTGTAGTTACAGAAGATTTGGTGAAAGAATAAAGAAAAAGAGACGAAGAACCACACCAGATTTGGTTTTGAATAGGCCAATAACGAGCTGTGATTGTTACTGAATTACATGGGATTTAATAGCGGCTGTGGTGGCAGAAGTCGTCGTAAATTAAATGGCGACATGCACAGTACAAGTGTAGGTTATAAGTGTTATTTACACAGTACAAAATATATTAATAAAAATACCAAATCAAAAACTCTGTCAGTAGCATTGTGTTTTGTGCTTTGAATGACTTATAAGACCCAATCAGAGAGCCAAAGGTGAGTGTCTGCATCATCGTCTCTAGTCCTCCATTTTTGCCCGTCCTGCACGAACACACTACCTGGAGTTTTAAAATGAAAAACGGGGTCGGCAGTGTTTCTTTGCCAAGTGGGGGAAGAGAGAGAAAACAGCGAGGGAAAAAGAAGAAAGTGTCCAAAGTATGGGATTATTTCAAGCTAAAGAAAACAACAACTCTATAATGTTACAGTCCATCCACCGTAAAATGAAACTTGTGTCGCCTCGGCAACAGCACGACAGCACCTTATCAGAAAACACCCGGTGTTCTGCCAGCAGACCACAGACAAGGTAACAGTAACTTTAGCATTTGATCTGAAATCATGATTGATTGTCGAGTTGAAGCCAAAGTAAGCTGCAGTCCTCAGATGAAAATGTGCACACGTGCGTTTGTTGTTCTCCTTTTTGGGCTGTTTGTTGTAACGTCACAGTCATGAGTTAACTGGGTGTCAGGGAGCTGCACCTTTTAACTCCCCTGCAGCTCTCTCTGTAGCTCAGACAATCCCTGCTACCTGTGTGTGCTAATCCTTCACCCAGATTCTTTGTCTTTATAACTGTTATCTTTATAATAACAAACAACAGCTGTTTCATGTACAGGATCGCTCATTTCCTGTTTCATATTTCAAGTGTTTTCTTGACAAAACGAGGTTTGGAGACCTGCGTCGGGTGACAGAGCTGCTGTGAGCTTGTGTAGTGTGTTTGTGTCCCTGTCACCGATCAGTCACGTAGTGTGAACGCAACAATGACTTCAAGCAAAAGTACTTAAACGACAAATCGATGAATCTTTGAAATAATCTATTGAAGCTTCGAATACTAAAATTATCGTTAGCTGCAGCCCTAGCGTTCGACACTACGCTGTGGGCAATGTGTCAGTGATACGTCAGGGAGCCATTTTAATGCATCGTTGAGTAGTTTACACATAACGACTGGCGACCGCTGATCGATTGCTGATTTATGCCCGACGGTCGCCGAGCTCACCGACCGGCAAATTGTGATTATAATCGTGTAGTGTGAACTAGGCTTAAGGGTATAGTAATCCTCAAACAATACAGTAGAGGCCTACAGTTATTATGGAAACCTGCTACCATATGTCTTTTGCATCAAAATCAAGCAGAGTGAGAGCCGTGTTTAAACCAGGTCAGGAGCAGGGTCAGATTATGTGATGACTGTAAACACTCGTATATCCTGCGTCACTCTGAGACGAAGAGAAAAGACAGAAGAGTGAGAGAGAGAGTGTGTGTGTGTGTGTGTGTGTGTGTGTGTGGGGGGGGGGGGGTCTGCTGCTACATTATTTGTGTTAAGTGTGAACAGGAACATTTAAAAGCCCTCCCAAACACTACGACCCCTAGTTAACCTGATAGAGATTACCCCCCCACACAGTGTATGCTAATGTCATAGGGTGAAACAGCTGGGTGTTTGGGTCATGCTGAAAGAGCAGTGAAAGAACAGCTCAGTGAGAATAGCATTATTCAGCTGACTGAGAGACTCCGACACACAGAGAGGTCTTAACAACAATGCCATTATTCTCACCTGGAGCTAAGTGATTAGCCACAAGCAGCCATGTAGAGGGTGCCACTTCTTACTCTGACCCTCACTGTGAACTCTTCACACTTCACAACAACTAACTGATTTGGTACAATACTTACTCAAAGCAAAACTCCAGTTTTTACAAAATGGATCTTATTTTAATATTTTCATGTCCAGCCATTGGTTCAATTCTGATAACTTAGTTGTGCACACACACACTGTATTCCTGTGCAGTGAGGGATTATTAGCAACAACAAATCCTGCATTTTTTAAACGTATACAAATATTAATATTTATCAGAAATATAACAATATGTTGTCAATTTTTTAACAAAAACCATTAACCATAACAAACAAGGACCCCTTAAATTAGATTATTAAACAATGGTGTCTAAGGTTAGTAGAGAACGAGACATTTCACAGTGTAACAAAATAAGCTGAATAGACAGTTTGTAAGTTACCTCAATCCTATCTTTGATGTGTCTCTACTGACATTACTTGTTATTTACTGGCCAAACTCAAGAGTCTGAAATGAACATTTTCACTGCAAGTGACACCTCTTGCATCTAATAGACAAGCTTAGTGATTTTCTGACCAGAGTTAGCTCCCATAGTCCAGCCAGTGTGCTGCTGGCAAGCTAACCGGCTATCAGGGTGGGCTGTGGCTCCTAATTCCAGTGAAAGGAACTGTTAATGCTTCAGCATAACATGATGATTTCATGTTCCCAACTTTGTGGAAACAGTTTGGGGATGGCCCCTTCCTGTTCCAACATGATTGCGCACAAGTGCACAAAGCAAGGTCCATAAAGACATGGATGAGCGAGTTCGGTGTTGACAACTGTGCTGGCCGGCACAGAGCCTTGCCCTCAACCCGAGCCAGGCCTTCTAGTTCATCCTCAAGCTCGGGTCCTCTACCAGAGGCCTGGGAGTTTGAGGGTTCTGCGCAGTATCTTAGCTGTTCCTAGGAATGCACTCTTCTGTTGCTCTTACTTTCCACATCTTTTCTAGTATCAGCCCTTGGTATTTCTCAAGCTTCTCGTGTTCCTTCTTCTTGATGTTGCTGTCGCTTGGGATTGCCACATCTATCACTGCAGCCTTCTTCTGCTGTTTGTCGAACAACATGATGTCTGGTTGGTTAGCCATCACCAGTCAGTCTTGAAGTCCCACAGGATCTTAGCTCGGTCATTCTCAACTACCTTAGGAGGTGTCTCACATTTTGACCTTGGGACTTCCAGCCCATACTCATGGCAGATGTTCCTGTACACTATGACAGCTACCTGGTTATGGTGTTCCATATACGCACTTCTGCCTGCATCTTACACCCTGCTGTTATGTGCTGTATTGTCTGAGGGGCATCCTTGCCCAGTCTGCACCTGGGGTCCTGCCTGGTGTGGTAGACCCCAGCCTCTATTGATCTTGTACTGAGTGTCTGTTCTTGTGCCGCCACGATTAGTGCTTCTGTGCTGTCCTTCAGCCCAGCCTTTTCCAGCCACTGGTAGGATTTCTTGACATCAGCCACTTCTTCTATTTGTCTGTGGTACATGTCGTGCAGCGGCTTGTCTCTCCATGAAGGTTCTTCGTCTTCCTTGTCCTCACCTTCGGGTTTCTGCTGCCTGAGGTATTCACTAAGCCCTTCATCTTTGGGGGCCATCTTCCTGATGTACTCCTGGATTTTCGTCGTTTCATCCTGGACAGTGGTCTTGACACTCACTAGCCCCCGGCCTCCCTCGCTACGCTTGGTGTAGAGTCGCAGGGTGCTGGATTTGCTGCTCCATGCATTGTGAGGAGCTTTCTTGACTTGATGTCAGTGGCCTATCTCCTCCTTTGGCCAGTTTATTATACCAGTGGGGTATCTGATGACTGGCAGGGCGTATGTGTTGATGGCTCGGATCTTGTTTTTCCCATTCAGCTGACTTTTCACGACCTGCCTTACTCTCTGTAGGCATTTGGCTGTGGCGGACATCCTTGCTGCCTCCTCATGGTTTCTGTTAGCCTGCGGCACCCGAAGGTATTTGTAGCTGTCCTGGACATCTGCAATGTGGGCTTCTAGTAGTTCAATCCCCTTGGTTCTGATCATCTTCCCTCTTTTTGATACCATGCGACCACACAGTTGCTGTAGATCCTGGTAGTGTACATCAGTGAGTCGATGTCTCGCTCATTTCTGGCATACAGCTTGATGTCATCCATGTAGAGGAGGTGACTGATGGTTGTTCCACTTCGGAACCGGTATCCGTAGCCAGTCTTTGTGATGATCTGGCTGAGGGGGTTCAGGCCTATGCAGAACAGCAGCGGGGATAGTGCATCGCCTTGGTATATGCCGCACTTGATGGTGACTTCTGCAATTGGCTTT